ATAAACGACGGCAGCCTTTGTTTTGCCAATGACGTTGCACGGCGCGTTCGCTTTTGAATGCCACCAATCCCGCTTTCCAGGGCGGCGGTGGTGGTGTACTTCGGCACCACTCTGCGCCCACTGTGGTTTTTGTTTGCCCATCAGATAGAAATCTGCATTACCCACCACCCCTCCACTGGCGCAGCTTAACGTCGAAAGTTGCTTTCGTTACCTATACCTCACCCCACCCCGGAACGCCGACGGGCGGGAGGGGAGATGAAAAGCCGGGGGCTAGAACGAGACAGCAACGCGGCGGACTCGAGTGGCTCAAACAGTGGGCTACACGTTACGTGACTTAAGTTATAATACACAATATTCTGAGTAGTAGACTCTGAGCTATGGTATCATTTCTTTTTTTTTTACTCTTTCGTTACTACGCAAACTCACTTGAAAGTAGGGTATTTATTTAATTGCACTACAGATAAGCTGAAAATGCGTATTAGCTGGCTTATAATTCGAGCTGGAATTGCACTTACTTGTCCCACTGTGCGATGGCAAGCGAGAAGCGAAAAAAATGAATAAATAAATAAAAGTGCTTTGGCTTCATTAGGCGATTAGCGCGACTCACAGCAATGATGATCCTGTTGCCAGGACCCGGTTTTGGTATTACGATTCCGATTCCGATCCCGGTCGCTCTTTCACCCCCACTTCTGCTTTGCTTTTGCTTTCGCTTCCGCTTCTGCTTTTGCTTTGCTCGTGCTCTGCTTTTTCCCTGCTTTCTGCTTTGCTCACTTAATGCGCGCCTGCGCAGCAAGTCAAGTGCGAATCATGTCAATCAGGACGGGACCAGTTGCGGGATGGAAACCAGGACGAAGGACCGTTAAAAATGTGTCGCCCGGCCACGCCCCCTCCCCTTTGCTTCCTTTTTGCTGATGTACACTTTTATTTCATTTTTTTGACGAACTGACAGGCAAATGTCAGCGATTTACAAAACGTTTAAGCTGCGCGCTCTTTGTCCACTTCACTGCCCAGGAAACAACAAAACAACAAACAGTCGGGCCAGTTTCCCGAATTTCCCACCACTCGACTTGAAAACGCTCGCTCATATTTGTTTTTCATGAGCCAGAGCCACTGGAAAAAATGTAAATTTTCACCCAAATAGAAGAGGGGGACGACGGCACGCGTGTAATCGCCCGGAAGCGTTTCGTTCGCATTCCCATTTTTTATATGCCATTTTTATTGTTTCTGTCGCCCGTGCAAGTCACCCCCTTTTCGTGGAGCGTGCGTCGAGCGGCTTGCAATGTGCCACCAGCAACAGTGCAACATTGCAACATCGCAACCTCGCAGATGCACTGCAGCCATTACGCAGCCTTACATGGACATGGGGTGGCTGGCTGCGGCCCAAAAAGCTTCTGTTGCATCATTAGTCGCCGGCTAAATTTGCATGACTTGTGTGCCATTTGACCTGCGGCAACAGACGGGGCACGTGGCACTCGCCACTCCGAGTAGGTGTATCGCACATCGCACATGGCACATGGCATATGGCATATAGCCCATAGCATGTAGAAAATAACGTACTGCATACGGCCAACTGTCGCTCCGATCCGGCGGAACTGCGCCGTCATTCGCCGATCACTCATTCGGCATTCCGCACTCCGCATGCTGCCCACTCATCAATACACTGCGAGAAACACTGCAGCATTTCGAACTCTGATACAACTCCGTTTGTGCGTTCAACTTCTAGTCCTGACTGGCATGCATCGCGGAAACTTTGCGCAGTAACTTTGCGCAGCAAATGGGCCACCAGTGCAGTCGAATTTCTCCCAGTGCAGCGCTCCTTTGACTTTCACACCTTGCGAATTGCCCACTTCACCCGATGCGATGCGATTGCGATCGCTAAGCTAATTAGCAGACTTGCAAAAACCCATTTCACTGGCGTTGCAATCCGCTGGATTTCGAATTCGCCAGCGGCAACGAAATGTTGCAACCCTTTCGCTTCAGCTTCAGTTACTGTTACTGTTACTGTTTCTGTTCCGATTTTTTCTCTTCATTTTGTTTTTTTTGTCAACGCCGCTGTTCGGATTGCAGTGGAAAATTTGTTTATCATTAGCAGATTGCAGCAGCTCGCGCTGGAAAATGAATTATAATTACGCGGCAACCACCCTTGCCTTGGGATTTAAATATTAAATATGTGCCACACGCGGCGCGCGGGGATTTCAGTTTGGATGCCCATTGTTTGCATAATATTTGGCAATTATTGGAACACACTCACTGACAGTTCCACGCATCCTCGGCACGTCGAGCGGCAGTGGAGTGTCCTGCCAGGATGCGGAGGGCAGAGGGATTTCTAAGCCGGCTTACCAGCTTTCTAGCGGGGGTCCTGGTGTTTCCCACTGCGGTTTCTACTTTCTACTTGCAGCTTGCCCCTCGCAAAAAGAAAGTTTCCTGCCCCCGGGGCCAGTGCGAAAAAATTCGCTGCCATACTGACTCCGAGGCAGGGGCGTTAGGGGGTTAAGGGCGCCGAAAAGGTTCCTTCGCAATGGTTCCTTCGAATCCCATTCCTTCGAATCCCATTCGCCCGCGGCGCTGACGACGTCTTGTTTGTCAATCAACAGCACACCGCGCACGAAAATCCGCGAATACATCGGCATCTGGCGAAATCAGCTCCTGCCCCCTGAATCCTCAGTTCGGAATCCTTTTCAGCCGCAGAACTTCCTCTTTCTGCGGCCAGCTGTTGATTAACTAACTGCATAATGAAGGAGTGCAGAACCCAAGGAAATCTGGTTTTACTATTGTACTTGAGTGGAGGGAGATGTTCCCTCGCACACAAACATTTTCAGTATTTATGCAGTAGCCTTTAACGCTTATAAAAATGATGTGGCTATGTAATGGAGCATACAAAGTATGATGTGGCTAAGTAGTGGAGCACAAAAACTATGATTTTGAAACATACATGGCTATCGACATCACTTGATTTTCCGAGGGGAAAGTCTTCGTTTAGATCATACGTAACTGCTTGTTGACCCGGGTCATGCCGAACATCTTGTCCTATCCAGTCTTACCCTTTTCCGATGCTCCGTCAGCTGTGACCAGGGTTTCCACGCCTTCTTGCAGGAACGGATGCCCCATAACCGATGATCATCCATGCCCAGCACACCCGATAGCTGGCACTGCCCTGCTCCGTTCGGTGGACGCTTGTTTCTATCACATTTACAAGCAATTAATTAAATTTTTATCGATTAACCAAGTGACACGCAGCCCTGAGGAAGTTCGGAAGGCGTTGGGGCAGACGGAAACGAGCCAAGAAATGTAAATTCGATGGGCAAAAGGGTTAGATCGGGAAACACAGGGGTGTGACCCAAGACGATGGCATTAGGAAATTGGTCTAACGATGCGGGTGAGCACAGCTGGCCAGGTCGAGCGGAGCAAGTGCACCCAGCGGGGCACGTAACCGGTCGCTCGTCCGATGCGAACAATAAAAATAATTCAATTATCTATCGCATCGCAGTCTAAATGGCCTACAAATTAGGGACAAGCCCACAGAAATGTGCGATGCGATGACAGGTTGCAGGAGTTGCGGGGATTAAGCGGGTTCCTTCCGCAACAGTAGGGTTCCTGTGCCACTACAGGTATGGCTATGAGTATGGGTATGGGTTGGGTATGGGTGTGGGTTGGGTATGGGTATAGCTATAGGTATCGGATGCCATACCGCACTCAAATCGAGTTACAGTGCCAAAAAGTGTGTGTGCGAGGGCGTCAACGTGCCAACAAGTGTCATGTGCCCGAGGATCGGAGATGCTGTGGGTGCCAATAGTTGGAAGCGGGAAAATAGCTAGATTTTGCACGGATGATCTGTCTTCGGAACATGGACACACGCAAGGGTTCCGCGCTTTTTTTAATAGGATATTAATATGTGCAAAACGGTTTCTGGTTGGATTACTTTAAGCTCTAAAGCTCGCGGACAAAGGCGAAAATCGGGGGTTGCTTTCGTTTCGATGACTTCAAAAACTCATTTACCGCGAAGGATGATTTCGAAATGGATTTAAATTATGATACGCGAATGTCCGCAAAAGTATCGCTTATGACAGGGGCCTTTTAAGAGCACTTTGTCCGCAATGATTTTTAAATACCATACAAGTATAGCCACGTTAGCGAGTTGGCCGATTGCGATGGGAAAATGGCCAATTGAGCAGCACAGAGGACGCAGAGTCCTCGGAAACAAGGAATGGGCCAGCTGTTGGCTGGCTGTGACTTCTCCTCCTCCGGATTTTAGATCCCGGGGCGTGCCAATGTACCTGTCAGGCATTCAATTATACTCGGATCCCAACCTGCAACGCCGTTGTTTGTTTTGGTCGCCTTGAAAAGCAAAGCAAATCGCTTGGTCAAGCAACTGTGTAAATATACGCAGGTCAAAATGCATTCGGCACGAGCTGGGATGTTGCGTAGGTGACGAAGGTGACCGCAGATGTTTCGCATTCATGCCGACGACGCGATACGCTGCTATGGGACAACAAAAACTACATTTGCTCGTCTTTCGGAAATCGAACCATCCATGAACTTCAAATTTAAAGAGCAATTTCCAACACGTTTCTGTACTTTGAGGATAGCTTTCATTATATTCGAAATTTGTCACAATGCTATAGCGTATTTATCATTTCCCATATGCAAATTGAGTATTACACATAGAAGTAGGCAACATTTATGACTAAAGCGGGTATTTCACCATTTTAAAAGAAAACTTTAGACCTTTGTTTTTGATTTAATGCTTTTATTTTGAAAAAAAATTATTTGGGCAACCTAAAATAGCAATAAATATTTCTACGTAAATTTGTTTAAAATTAAATAATGAAAAAAAATGCATATACGAAAACTACATAACAGCAGCATAAAAAAAGGTGTTGTTAGTAATGGAATAAATAGTGATTAAGGTAGACTAAGAAATTATGTACAGCAATCGAAAGATGATTAGTTTACGACTTAGGAACTAATTAAGCGTCATAGTTAAGCGTTTTCCCCCCGTTTGTCAGCGTTGCTCGCCTTCTCGTCTGCAACTCGCATTTCGTTGCTCGTCTCCTTTTTTTGTGGCTTCCCAGATCCTTTGTGGATCTGCTTGCAAGGACCTCCGCTCAGACATATATAGATGAGGGCAGCGCCAAGCCCACCTCGAAGTAGTTGCGCTCGTCCACCTTGTAGCGCTTGATGGGCGACTCCTTGGCCACGATCTGCTTGCGGGTCCGCTTCAGGGCCTTGACCGGAGTCTCCAGGCAGAAGGTGTTGTCGCAGGGCGCAGGCTTGGTGGCCACGGGCGTGGCCAGTTGGACGAGCAAGTTGTGGGGAATCTTGGCCAGAGGCGAGGCCGGCTCCGGAGTGGCCATCAGGTTCTGCATGGGCAGCGGGACCAGGCCAAAGCTGAGGTCCGCAGCCGGATCGTCGCCAGGTGCATAGGATGGCGACAGCACCTCCTGGGGGCAGTTCGACTCCATTTGCTGCTTGACCAAGGTGCGCCTGCGCAGATTGAAGGTCGATCTCCTTGGCTTCTTCTTGCTGCTGGCACTCGCCTTGCAGGCGGAGTCCAAGATGGCATCGATGAGGCGATCCAGGGTCTGATCCCCCATCTGGGTGGAGGCGGGCTGCGGTGTACTTGGACGTACTGCCGCCTTGTTGGTGGGCGGCTCCGGCACTTCCGGCACTGCCGGCACTGCCGGCGCTTCCGGCTGCCGCAACTCCGGCTCCAAGGTGGCCACAAAGTCCTCGTCCAGCCTGCGCTGCCTGAGCCGGGTAACTCCTGCACCCGCGCCCACTATGTAGCGCGGCTGGCCCAGAAAGGGATCCAATGCAGCCAGACCCCTCAGCGCCAAGTGCTGGCCACTGGGCAGTCCGTTGGGCGAGTAGTCCTCGGCAAAACGTGGCAAGGTGGTGGCGTACCGCACACTCTGCACCCTTTGTGGCGCCTGACCGCGGACCACCGCCTCCGGGGTGACATTCCGGATATCGCTAAGCGGCGCCAGCACCAGCGGACTGTTGAGCAGCCGGGAAATGGGCACTGGCGTGGAGGTGTAGCCCACGGTGTCGGGCACGTTCTCCTTGTTGGCAATGGTGGCCCTCCGCTGGCGGCGCTGCCTCCTCTGCTGTCGCAGCCTCTGTGGCTGGTTGGCATCCTGATCCTGCGCGGGCATCTCGTTCAGGCGCTGCGCCGATGCCGTCCACTTCAGCATGTTGTGTGTTGTTCGGTGTCGGTTTCGTCTGTTGCTGGTGCACAAAAAAAAAGATATGCTTCTAGACTCTGCTAGTCTGCTGCTCTCGACCGCTCTCGCTGACAAACTGAAGCGGTACGGGGAGCGGGCTGCGTTTTATACCCGCTCGGCGCTCAGGGGTTAGAGGCTAGGGGTTACGGGGCTAGGGGTTGTTGCGCAAGAGGCACCCCGGCGGGCAGAAGGACGCTCGCTCTCTCGCCGGCGCTCTCTCTTCGGGCGAGGCGCTCTCCTTCTGGAGAGCCAATCTGCGGCAAACTATCTGTGTGGCAAACTATCTTCGGACCTCGAGGAACTTAAGCAACAAGCTCGAGGATCTTCGAGGCTAAGCTCAGAGTAGGAAACTCATAATACTAGTATTCATTACTTTTCATCACCACAAACTTCGCATTTCCAGTCATCTATCTGTGTTGTATGTATATCTATGAGATTTGGTCTACCTAAAAGCATGGTGTCACATTATATCCCAGTGCTTACACGATCGTGTACTCTGAAGGAGATATTGGCTTCGTCCTTTCCCACAGTTCCCACTGGCACTGCACTGGCCGGGAATCCCCCACTCCAATCCAGCCACTCATCCACGGCACCACCACACGAAAATGACATCTAGATGTCTATCGGCCAGCGCCTGGTTATTAAATTTGCTTTCATTCCCCTCAAGGAAGTCTGCTTCCTTTCGCCCCTGTCTCCCCCTCATTTGAATGGCCATTTACAGCAGCAACAGGCTGGCAACGGGGAACGGAAAGAGGAGAAGGGAAGCCAGGTTGGCCAGGCTAATTAGCCCATGCCAAGTCCAACTTCCTGGCAGACAGCTCCTCGTCATTTTAGCCACTTGTCGTGGCTCGGTATCAGTATTAATTGCGGCTCTTTAGCGGCCGCAAATGCAATTTATATACTCGGCGACTTTAATTGAAAATGTTCGCCACTTCCGGAAGGAAGCATTAGAAAAACGTTACAAACTCTGGGAAAAGTCCTGAGCAAAGCGTCAGTTGTTCACCCAACAGGGAAAAGTTTGTGCACAGTATGTATTATCAAATTATCAGCTTTTCAGCCGATTTCTAACAACGATATGGGCACAAACGAAATAGAAGCGTGTAAGGATTTGACTTTGGCGAGTTCTGTAGCAAAATTGGTTCCCATAACCTGGGTAGAGATCTATATTTAAAGCCTTTCATATGAATATGAAATATGGAACCAATAAGTAGGTTATACTCCCGATGACAAGACCAAAGATAACTGCCCCCATATGTGGCTCTTGACCAGCCGCAGATGAAGTGATCGTCGAGATGCCTGAGTGATCCTCAAGTGATCATCGACCAGCGGTCCTAAGTGACGTTCAAGTGATCGCAGCTCGTCATCTCCTGGACTTGGATCACTCAAAGTGTCCGTGACCGATGTGGCTGGCTATCTGGCGGTCTGATCTAGTTTCGTATGTGAAGGCATCCTTGGATGGGTTCTGGGCTCTGATCCCCGGGAGATATCTTTATTTGCAATCTTTCGAGCGCTGAAAGATTTCCGCTAACGGGGATCGTATATTTCGCACGGCGAAAATATCCTTTCGGCGTTTTTGCGGTGAAAGTCGTTTTGTTTCGTGTGTTTTCATGTCTATCATGACTATCTGCCGATCGGCTTTCAGTCTGGATTGGCAGACAAAAGGGGTGCAGGGGTAGTTAATTGATTGCCCCGTTCCATCCACTGAAATGGCGAATTTCTCAACTCTTTTTCAGCGTTTACTTTGCGAAATGCGCCGCTCCTTTTGCGCTTACTTTTTACCTCTTTTCCCTTCGATTTGCCCTCGTTATGTCGCCGAGTCCTTCGATTCCCTTTGTGGCGTTGAGTTATCGCTGTTTACATAGCCGCACAAAAGGATTAAATGCGTTTTTGAGAGAGTTTCCAGCGGTAAGAAAGGATTTCGGCATTTCCGCTGATTAATACGATTTAACGAGCGTCCTTTCTAACAAGGCGTATCCCGGCCAGTCTTCGCCACACAATTTCCACACGAAAATTACCATAATCCTCGCATTTTCTGCGCTTCGCAGGGACAACGCAGCACAAATGGATAAAGAACTGCACGAAAACCACTCAAATTCGAATTGAGTTCTCGGCATTTCGTGTGCGACGATTTTACGCTTAATTAACGAGCCCAAGGACCCTGCCGCCAGGACTGCCCGAAGTCACGATCCAGTCCGGATCGCTGTATGCAAATTGCCCTATGCACTTTTTTACCGCTCCTCCCCTTTCCCCTGCACACGTGCTAGAGCGAGAGCGCGTCGCCAAGAGCCACTTGACTTTCACTCTCACTCTGCCGGCGTCCTGAGCTCCTGAGTTCCTGGGCTCCTGAGGTCCTGCGCCGCGGAGCCGAAGGGATTTGCATGCGCGGCGGCGAACTCGCGAATCCGCCGGAGAGGCGTGCTGCTCAGCCCTTCACCAGCCGGATGGGATGCACCTCCTCCGATCCTCACTGCAGTTTAGAAGTCGTATATATGCCTAAGCTTAAGCCGTGTTTACTTGGAGAAGTGCTTGCATTCCAGCCAAGTGCGGCTGGATTAACCCCTGAAAGTGTGAGGTTAGCTACTCGAACCGCGCCATTACCCTCCCCTTGGACCACCTTTGCATATGTGCTTACATGCAGATCGCCACTTCGGCCGTATCTTACAGATAGGGCTGCTTTATTGTTGCGCCTGTGATTAATGCGCCCGTGCGCGCATTGTTTGCGAAATTTATCGATATTTGATTTGCTGCGCGCCGCCTGGAAATGGCATTCAAATGCCCAAAGTGTATCAAATGCATGTCGCGCGGCTTTGTTTGCGTTTTGCATAATGGAGGGAAAGTGTTTGCGAAAGGGGAAAGTTCGCACAGGGCATTGGGTGGGCCAGTTCGCGACTTCATTAACGCGCCGCGACAAGGTTGTGGGGATTTTGCGACTCTAAGCGGAAACCGCAAAGAAGTGAAGCCATTAAATCATAAATGGGCTGAAATGATTAATTGATTTCATAACTTTGACGCTGGCATTTTCGCGTAGGCAAGGCCCTAAAATGACTGGCAGTATATAAAGGATAAATGGCCAAATGGCAATAGCAACACACGGGCCCCTGGCAAATATCATGTTTATGCTCATAACTTTCCAACTCAAAAGTCGACCAACTGTCAACTGTCAAATACGAGACAGTTTCGCAAACGGATCCTGGCCATTTGGGGTGGGGGGAATGCTCTCTTGAGGACGACGACTGAGACTCGAGTTGTGACCCTGAAAAATAAAGGAGAGGCAGCGCAAACTGGAACACACGAAAGGACACCCAAAGGATGCGTCTGAGGCAGACAACGCAAGACAATGGATGCCATAATGAAGAGCAGATACAGATACAGATACAGATACAGACACAGAGACAGATACAGATACAGATGCAAACAGCAAGCACAGGCGGAGATCCTGATGCACAGATACAGATACAGATACAGATACGCAACGGGAGATGTCTGCTGCATCCAAGGAGCAGAAAGTAAACTGCAACAAAGGAACGCCAGGGAAAGGATGCGAAGTGGGCAAAAAATCAGAGGCAGGGGCTGAAATTATTGCAAATAATTTAGAGCACATATTGCAGGGATCTGAAAAAAAAGGATCCGACTGCCGATCCCTTTTCGGTTTGTTCGATTGTCATTTGCCCACAGCGAAAATCAGCAAGGATATCGCTCCTCGCAGGAGCGAACCTAAGAAATAGGTCGGTCTGCCAGCCCTCGAACATAAATTTGCAACAATTAAAAACAAAGTTAATTAAAATTTATGTGCGACAGTTGCTGCACTCTCGAGCGAAAGAAAGTGCGTATCGGGCCCATCCTTTTGCTAATTGCTGGGTGTGTCCTGCGAACTGGAGTGCCATTCTGCGCTTCAACAGTCCACTTAAAAAAGAGATAGGGCCGAAGAAAGCCAGCCGAGCATCGCATCAAATAAAGATGTTTCGCACATAAAAAATGGGCGTATCGGGGTGGAAGGGAGCTGATGACCATCGATGACCACCGATGGCCAGTGGTTGACCTATACAATGGTCGCACAATGGATTTAATGGCGTATTGGTCAAATATAGACGGCCACTATGCTTTCTTTGTTGCCTTTTTTCCAGAAACTGCAGATTATCACTTTGTGCAAAAAATATCCCGAAAGTGCGCCAATCGCTGCAGATATTCACCAAGTTATGAGTTATGAGTCCAACTTTGGTCATAGGATTTCTCCAGACACTGTTCTCGACCACAATTAATAGTATTACACAAGGAGGCGCACTTTATTGGCTGCTCCCGCCCGCTGTTCCGCAATCCTTTGGTGGATTCCGCACGGGCGGCGCCTGTTTTGCATAGGAACCGCAGTCGGCGCCTCCGGTTTTACGATCCAGCGGGGGGCTACGATCGTCCTAGCGATGCGGACGGACCTTGGTGTCCTGCTCCGCTTCCGATCGGCCCAATTCGAATTGGCGCGTCCTTTGTTCGCCTCACGAGCTCTCGACGAAGACAAAGGCGGCCTGTCAGTTTTGATGCGCTGCCGATGCGTAGCAGATTTATTGGCCTCTGCTTTGTTTGATCGCATCCTGGGCATCGGAATTGGACTCGGACTCGGACTCGTCCTTGTCACGTTCCACATGCAGCGAGGACTCGGGACGATGGACGATGACGATGGACTAAGGACTAAGGAGCGTGAAAGTGCCGAATGTCCGGCAGCCGGACCTCAACAAAGGATCAAGGACCGAGATGAGCCAATTTCAATTTCAATTCACATTCCGATTCCTTGCGCAAAAATTACCCAAAACGTCTCTAAATTAGAGCAACTGTCTTGGGCGGCTCGGCAGTGGTGCGCAGATTGGTTCGGTGGTTGTGAGGCCCTCGAACTCCGGATAGCAGCTGCGTCCATTGCCCAGCGTCCTTCGTGGCCACGACTACCGGACTTATCGCCCATTATCCTTTTACCTGGGGCCGACGGCCAGGAGGAGCTCTTGAAAGGCTTTCCCTAAATCCAAATCGATTCGGAGCAGACTCAAACAGGCCGATGTGATCTGCTTCACTATTCTAGTCCTGCGAGTCA